CAGGTTACAACAAGAAGTTGTGAAAATAAAAACCAGCTTTAGAAGCTGACCCAAACCAAGATTACATTTGAGCCCAAAACATGTGTTTTATGAACCCCTTGTTGGGCAAAGCTATCTGCCAAACTGTTGGTAGTTATCCTTTGACAGCCATTTAAATCTCCTGAATCCTCAAATCTCATGTCACCCCCTTCCCCTTATGCAGCCATTTTACCACAGTTTTTGAGTCACCCTCAATATCAGTCTACTAATACCCATTCTTTTGCCTTCTCAACCCCATCACCTTGCTCCACAGGACTGGATCTGGAAGCCTTGTATCCAAATTGCAAAAGTTCTCTAATCCTATTGATGGAGTTCACTTTAATTGCAGTTGAATATTTATTTCTATTGCAACAAGCCTTGCACTTTGTTTAATTAGGAGTCCTTGTCTTCGCTTCAGCATGGATGGATACGTCCTAATATTTACTTTTTAGCTTTATATTACCTCTATGCATCTCATCACTTTATCTCCTGTTATGGTCCAGTTTAAATATATTAGGTGAGGTAATGGCATACTTCCACAAGTCTATATCTTGCCCTTGGGGCTATGAAGGAATTTTTACCTCTGGTTGTATTAAAACCCTTCCTACATGGATCTCAGGTATTGCATTCTGGATGCAAACAGGAGAGACAGATGGCTTGTTTGAGATTGAAAATCTTTAATCTGTCTTGAGACAAGATATGAAATTATTTGATACAGAAGACGGATTCAAACATCAAATTTCGTATCTCAACTGATGTACTCGCGCAGGATGCCATAGGTGATAAGGTACACAACTGAATGTGTTATAGGACAACTGGTGCCGTGGAAGACCAAATGATCTGGAGTCTGAATAAGACCACTGAAATTGTGTTTCCTTTTTCCTTTTAATCTAAATGCAGACAGGCCATGCTTTGCAGTACCTTGCTCAGTTCTGTGTTGGCAATGCATTATTATAGGATTTACAACAGTATGGCAGCTTTCACTTGTCATCTTGACTTGTTGTTCCATTGGTGGTTATTTCTGGTGGAGAGTATGGCCAGTATGCAATAATCATGTCAACATGGTCAAGAAAAGGTGAGGCAGCTTATGCTGAAGATGGGAAGGTTACAGAAGAGGTAAACTCCTACCTTTGTCTCAGCTCAAGTTTACATTCCCTAATGTGGTACTGTAGAGATATTGCCTTCAAAGTTTAAAAGCTTGATTGCATGGTGACACTACCCTCACTCAAGTATTAGAGTTGACCTAGCCTGGTGAACAGAACTCTTCGGTATTGCAGAAGAGGTAAACTCCTACCTTTGTCTCAGCTCAAGTTTACATTCCCTAATGTGGTACTGTATAGATATTGCCTTCAAAGTTTAAAAGCTTGATTGCATGGTGACAATACCCCTTCGGTATTGCAGAAGAGGTAAACTCCTACCTTTGCCTCAGCTCAAGTTTACATTCCCTAATGTGGTACTGTATATATTGCCTTCAAAGTTTAAAAGCTTGATTGCATGGTGACACTACCCTCACTCAAGTATTAGAGTTGACCTAGCCTGGTGAACAGAACTCTTCGGTATATAAACCATTTCTAGGATATTGCCTTCCCTTTTAGTCTATGTTGGAGGGTTATTATAAGAATACAAATCCTGTTGCATATGGTTGAGAAGATTATTTTAGCATATATGAAAGCCAAATAGCATCAATTAAGTTCCAATTAATGGCCCACGAAGTTAACTAAACTTTTTTAATCTTCCAATCTTGTTTCCATTAATTAAGAAGCTTTAATATACAACAAGAAATTACAAAGAAATCAGCATAGAAGCTGACCCAAGACAACTGATATAGTTTTCCTTTCCATGGATCAGATTATTTCACAGGTTCGTGCAGTGTATTCTTTTGTGGGGGAAGAAAAGCAATTGAAGAATATTCCAAGTCACTCACAAAAGCTGTCAATTTAGGGAAAAGGAGTGGAATTGTGAAAGAAATGGGTATTGGATCCATACATGGCCTCTCGTTTTGTTCTTGGGCATTATTTCTCTGGTATGCTGGCATCCTTGTCAGGCATAGGGATACTGATGGTGGCAAACCTTCAGAGGACCACTCTTGATACCTAAGACATTGAAACTTCTAGGTTTTTCAGTTTAGCAAACCTTCTATTTCTCTGAGAATCACTCTTGCATGACCAAATCAGAGGACCACAGTTAATTAGTTGATATCCCACCATTCACCTAAACTGGATTTACCAGGCTACAAACCAGGATGCAAATTACTCTCTGCCTCTATTGTTCTCCATTGAAGTGCATAAATCAGAGATTCAAGATTATAATTGAAGACTGAGCAACCTGTCTATAGACAAAGGGGAAATGTGCATTCCATTTAAATGAAAAATAATTAATTAGGGATCTATGCATAGAATAATTGATTGGGATTTAAAAAATCATAATGGTAATGCTTACTTGATGAAAACTACACAAGTAGTCAATTTTCTCATATTTCAGCATGGTTGAGCATTCCCAAACCATCAAACACCAGATTTAACCATTGCTGTAATGGAACTACCTTTCATTATTGGTTTCACCTGCATTATTTGCTTATATCTATTATTGATCCCATTCTCAATCCACCTCCGAATTTCATCAGAAAATCCAGCATCACCTGCTGAACTCAGTGCATCACAAACTAATCTATATGTATATTCTCTAGGAATTGACCCACCTTCAACTAGCTCAACAAGAAAATCCCGTGCCTCCAAAACTCTTCCCGCTTCACATAATGCATGTATGATAGGGGTGTAAGAGCTTGTAGTGGGTATCCCATGGTTCATCAATTTCATCCTGTTTAAAATCTCAATGGCCTTGTCAATCTCATTAGTTTTGCCATAATACCTAATAAATGAATTGTAGGTAACCCGGTTAGGGATACATCCTCTCTGAATCATATCATCAAAAAGCTCTAATGCCCTGTCAATCCTATAGGTCTTGCAACAGGAATCAATTAAACAATTATAAGTAACAACATCAGGAACAAAACCTTTAAGCAACATTATCCGAAACAAGTGGTTTGCCTCCCACAACCTCCTCCTAGTGGCCTTGCGGCACCCAGTCAGCATGCTATGCTTACAATAAGAGCTAATCAAAATAGTGTATGTAAATATATCAGGAGGGCATCTAAAACCAGGCAATTCCATTTGTTCCACTAAAAATTTTGCCTGCTTAAAATTCCCAACTTTACAAAGAGCACATATGACTGTATTATAGGCATAAACATCAGGTTTACAATGCAGCTGCTTCATCCGATAAAATGCTGCCAATGCTTCATTGGCTAAGCCCTCCTCTCCAAGAACTTTTATCAAACAGGTGATAGTAGCAGTTGTCACAAGTTGTCCATTACCTTTTCCAGCCATTTCTTTAAGAAAATTCCACAGCATTTTCAGCCTATTCCCTTTTGCCAATACACAGGCCATCTCCCTACAAGTACTCTCATTATGGATAAATTCAAATTGGGACTCAACCCAATAATAGAATTGTAACGCCTTTTCTAATCCTAAGTTGACCTTCTCAGGATCTCTGTATGCAGCAGGGCCAAAAAAACGCAAACCATCCCGAAGATTATCAGATTCTAATCGTAGATTTCTCTGTCTAAGAGGTGTCCGGTGCCTAAAACCTTTTTGGCGTCCAATTGATCTAGCAGATTGGAAAAAGAATCTGGTAATGGATCTCAAAACCTCACAGACAGTCTCAACAGTCCATGGATTGAAATTGAGCCTAGTAATTGAGGCGGCAGTTTGAGCATCAAAAGGCTTGTCTTGAAGCATAACAACCATCACTTGACTCACAAGGGAAGTACGAGGAAGATTGAGAGATTTTAACCACGGAATTGAAGGGGAAGAAGCATAACGACGCCTTTGAACAGGGAATATGAGAGGTTGTCGCTGTGGGAGGAGTAACAGTAGTAGATAGTCAACAGTTATTGATATTCTCAGAAAGGAGGATGGCACCAGCATTTCACTGTCACAGATTTTGGTTAGTCCCCACTGTGAAAAAGAAAGAGAGTTTTTGGAAGGGTAAGCAAATACAGTTGAGATCAAGTTACAGCAAACTATTTGGGCGGATTCGGAAATTGATGCATTGGTCGTGGAGAAATATGTGAAACATTAACAAATGTTAAACCCTAACCCTAAGGAACTATTTGGGCGTGGAAATATACATTTAAAACCCTAATGCATCAATGGAGTCTGAAAAAAAAAATGAGAAATGGGGGTTGATTATACCTGAACACGGTAAAGAACGGCGTGTATCGATGAAAAAGGAGAACACGGTGAAAAACCTGAACTGAACGGCGAGTCTCGATCAGTACTTGTGAAAGGAAGAAGAAGAAGAAGTAAAGACGAGTTAAGAAGAAATATACTCAAGCTTTTTGTGCCGTTGAACAGAGGGAGATTATGTGTACCGTTGAGCAGAGATAGATCCGTTGAGCAGAGAGAGAGAGAGAAGGTCGACGAAAGAATGAGAGGGGGGCGCTGGGGCTTTTGAGGGAGACATCTCATCCATCTCTATATATTATTACGTAGGGGAGATGTTCCCAATTCACGGAGGTAGTGTGTTGTAGGTAGACGTGGACAGATTTCTCATCTGAGTCTTATTATATTTGTGGCCTTGTGGGATAAATTATCATTCTACCCCTTTATCTCGCTTGTGATTTGATCACGCGGGTTCGTTTTATTAAGAGATCGGATCTCCTCTTCACACATGGCGCCTCACGCACATCCTATTATGCATTGGAAACATCTCCGATATTTATTGGTTATGTCCAATGCAATGCATGGGAGATGTGCCTGTGAGGAGCAGATGCCGTTACTTTTACGAAGGTTTGGTTTGGTAAGAGTACAAGTACAAATATTTATTGGTTATTATTCATGGGAAATGTTTCAATGCATGGTGGATGTGCCTATGAGGCGCCCATTTGTAAGGAGCAGATCTATCACTTTTATTAAGGCTCCATTTTATAAGAGTACAAGTACAAATATTTATTAGTTAGATAGGACCGTGCGATGCACGGACTTGATTATTGATTATGATTAGGATGGAGTTTTATGACATTTCCAATTAAGTAGTGTATATCTTAGTTCAATTCAAGTGTTACTTTTTGGGTTATGTCTAATTTATCTAATCACAAACTAAGTTGCCCTTAGTGAGAGTGGTCATTTTCCTATTCTCTGGATTTTTGTATTATTTTTTTTATCTTAATGCTAATTTTTTGAAAAAGAATTTTTATTAGTTTTTATTGGTTTATTGTTATTTATTGTATTATTTTTAGTTAGAATTATAAAAATCATATAAATAATAATTTTATAAACTACTTTTGCATTTTGACCCTAACAATGGCCTCTCCTATAGTTTTGGAAAAACAAAGTGTGAATACCTCCTTTCCCTTGGCATTTCAATAACAAAGACACTTAAGTTACCAAAATACCATTTATCATTGTCAATGCATTATCATACATAATTCAAAATTTAAACTTTACCCTTCACCAATTTATTTTTCCAAACAACTTCCAAAGAATAATTATCCTTACTCTTCTTAGACAAAGTAAGGCAAAAAGACTGAAGTAAAATTAATGCATTACATCAACATTTTTATTTGGAATGATGATAAAAGGAAGGTATTTGCACCTTTCTTCAAAAACAATGGGGGAGGATCTTGTCAAGGTCAAAACATTGGGGAGTTTCATAGGATTGTTAGAAAATCCAAATAGGTTTTTATAATTTTTCTTATTTTTAAATGGAATTTAATTGATTTCAAAATAATTAAACTATATTTAAGATTAATATTTTATATTAATTTTTGAAATTATTAAAATTAAATTTAATTAAGTATATTAATTTTTATTTTTTAATAGAACTTAAGTTGATTTTAAATTAGTAAAAATTAATTATAAAACTGATAATTGTTAGATAATATTATATTAGTTTCAGATTAATTTTAATTTGATATTAGTTTTTAATTTATCTTATTATTTTTATTATATTAATTAAAAATAAGTAATAATTATTTTATTTTCTTAAGTAACTTACTAAATTATTTTTATTATGAATAATTAACTTCTATTGTTTTTAAATGGAATATAAATAGATTATAACTTTAAATGGAAATAGATTGTTTAGTGTAATAATATATCATTGAATATCTTAATTTCAATATAACTAATCTTTACTAATAATTACAATTTAATGTAAATATATCTAATATATATATAAAAAATTCTAGTTAAATTGAAATGAATTATGTGAAATTTAATAGAGTAATAGAGGTGAAAGAGAGTTAGTGAGATTAGTTATTGAATGAGAGAGTTAATGGCATAATTAATGAGGAGGCATTATTAAAAGAGTTAATGAGAAAGAAGAGAGAGAGAGAGAGAGAGAGGGAGAGAGAGAGAGAGAGAGTTAATAATGAGTTAATGAGCAATGTTAAAAGTCGTAAAGGTGATTGGTCACTTGAGTTATTTTGCTCAATTTTAAAATTAGAAAGTTAAAAAAAAAAACAGAAAAAAAAAAGATAAATGTTTTTTAGAAGAAACTAGAAAAAAGGTAAGTGACTTGGAGAATAAACCACAAAGAAGGAAAGTGCCAGCTTGGCACATTTCGCTTTAATATATAGATATAGATAGGAGATGAGTTCTTTTCTTCACTTCCCATACTCCATCTAATGGCCTTATTTTTCCATCTAAAATCCATGGTGGGAAGGACTCTCAACTGGTGCTAACCCTCTTTCTTGTTGTATAAAAAAAGATAGAAGCCATATTAGAGAAAAGACCCTACCCAAATGGCAATCTCATCTCAAAATGAAAGCATTACAAAAATCACAAAAAGAAAAAAAAAAAGATTCTTTGGAGTGATGTTAAGCGAGACCTAACTATTTGAACTAAAAAACCATTATTTAGAAAACCAGACCAAAAATTTTGAACCATTATTTAAAATTGAAACTAAAAGAATGCTCAAAATTGTTGACACAACCAATCCAACTAGAAAACCGATGAATTGGTCTCAGTTTTGGAAAACTGATCGGTTTTTAACATAAATGCAAACTTCCAAAGGCCATAACTTAGTGTTCGAATGTCTAATTAGGGTAAACTTTTTATTGATTTTAGGTCAACTTTGCGATCAATATGTTCGAAGGTGTTGACCAAAAAAAAAGCTTTTTTGGCCCCAAATCTTTATTCTTAATGTAAAAAATAAAAAATAAAAACTTGAAACTAAAATTAATATTATGTTATAGTAGAATATAATTATATATTTTGAATATATGATGTATGTATATAGCGACCTCAATTAAACTTCTAACTTGTGAGACTCTCCCTTTTCCTATCAATGCCCAACCCAATTCTTTGAACATTGAGAAAAACATGAATAAGAATTAATGAAATAAAGAACTCTGATGCATGGCTAGATTTAGAGGAGACAATAGTTTATTGTTGGGAAATTAGAATTGGAATTTTGTATAAATTAATAAATTTTTGTGTAAGAAGATTAGAATTGAAACACAAAACTGTTTTTTTATGAATAGTTGAAACACAATATTGTTGACAAAATGAGAATAAGCAAATTCACTCTTTGAGATTTATGTAAAAAATCCTGTTACAACAAATGAAAGGTTGATGTCATTTCAATTGTATAGGCATTATCTAACAACAAAAAAACTAACATTTAACATTGGAAGGGGTTGATGAATGATAAGCACTTACCAATTACTAGTGACATGTGACATGTCATAAGGTGACAAAATTAAGTCAGATGAAGGGCTAAAAGTAGAATAGCATTTGGATCGACATTCTCCTCCTTTTCTATTCTATACAAAAAAAAAATCCATCCTAAAATTGATTCTTAGAAGTGGAAAAAAAACTAGATTTTAAGAATAGGATTCTAAAGCTTAATCAATTCTCGCTATGTCTTTTAATTATAACGAACAGATATGCCCTATTCACATATGAAACTAAGGGCATATTTGAAATTTCTCATGAAATTATAACAAAATGCCTTGATACCTTATCTCTTCTATTACGTTCTCACCTTCATTTTTGAAGCTTTGTATCATGGAGTTTACTACATAGTTTGTGCAGAAAACAACACAAATCAATATTGTGATAAATTTCAGTTAAGATTATTACCATTTCAATTGTTTTTCTTGTCTTTGTAGTTTTGTTCCCACGTCAGAACCTCTCCTTCCTTGAGATTAATTGAAGGGCAAATTTCTTAAACTATCCTTATGGTTTATCTAATTGACTAACTCTACCTTCCCTGTTTACATATTGTCTTAAAGTACCCCTACTATTTTTTATAATTGACATCATTGTTAAGCACTAATGGAAAACAATGAAATGTCAAATTTACCCTCTACTATTTCTCAAATTTTCAAAATAAAATCCTTCTAATGAAAATTTTGAGGAAGTTGAGAAAATGACACAAGCGCATGCCTTAAATGGCAACCTCAGTCTACAACTTTGCAACTCGGACGAGAACCGGGGAAACTTTGAGATTTACTCTTGGATACAAGAAACCAAAGATGAATACGAAACAAAAACCAATTCTTTTCCCTTCTCCATAATCCTTCTCAGAAAATCAAAACAAGCAACAAAGTGAAAAAGATCTATTTCCAAACCCTGGTTCAAGGCAATAAACCGTCTGCAACTTCCTCATCAATTCAAGATACTTCACGAACACTCAAGAAATAATAGCGAGGTAATTCTCTTCTATTAGAGGGGTAAATCACCCAAACCGCCTAGTCATTTAAACCTGGAATCCATTTGTTAATGCCATCACTACTAAGGATTTTTGGTATTCCACCAGAGAATCCAGTGGAAATTACTACATAAAAACAAAGGGAGAAAGGAAATAATATAATAACTATGGAAAGAGAGATGAAATCACAAACTCACAGACCACGTAAAATTTTTCTTCAGCAAATAGAATAACAGAAAATAAAACATATATGGTTTAGACTTCAGAAGCTTTTGAAATTTCATAGAAAATAATAAGTTCACCATAGTGTCAGATCCTGGGAGCTTTTAAGTCCTCGAACTGACCACAACCCAAAGGGTGTTGTTCATCACAACCATGAATTCCAACTTCTCGCTAAAGTCTATCTTGTGTTGGAAGGGGTGAGCACTCGACTCGAACTCCTACACCATTTTGGCTAAGATCAGGTCTCGTGTAGTTCCTGGAAATTCTAATTTCAGGACAAGGTTTCATCCGATTCCATAGGATGTAGAGGAAGCAACACTCACTTTAGTTCTTGAAAAATAGAGGGAACTAGTGGCTTGACTAAGGCACGACCAATTTTTTTTTTCCTTGTTTATTACTTATGGTGGAAAAGCTTAACATCTCGTAAAGGGGGGATAGCTTGTTGAGAAGAGCCTTTTTGGTAGAAGGATGGAGGCGAGCTAGGCATGGTTGGGTCAAGGGGATAGCTTCTCTATCAGCAAACTCAACCAAGTGTTTCGCGTGGGTTTGCATATCAACCAGTGGATAGCTTCTCTATCCACTCATGG